TCGATTTACATGGTTTTTGTTATAGAATGAGCTATATATTTATAAAAATTCAGGAAAAAAAATACCATGAAATTGATTTTGAATATTGCAAAAAAAAATCAAGGAAAAATATTTACGTCGATATATGAATTTGTTTTTGCAGGACAAAAACTTTTTTATAAATTACTGAGGGTATATGTTTGTAAAATTTTGTGTCAGTTTTTTTTTTGGTTTTTTTGTTGATTGAAAATACGTATTTATTGCTAAAACTAGCAAATATTCGGTATGCTTCGCTGCGCCTTAAATGTATTTTTGTGGTTTTACTCCCTCCCAAATCTGTTATGGTCTCATCCATAAAAAATAAAATAGATTCAAGGAGCTTTATGAAGTGAGATTTTCAATAAAATTTTCGATTTGTGAAGCATTATATATATTTTATAAATGTAGTTGTTAGTTACCTAGCACATACAACGCCGGACAAAAGTATTGGCACAGAATTTTTCGCAATGTATGTAAAGTTTTTGATTTCAATCCTTTTTCGCAAATTTTTTATAAAAATATTGTTCCTAATATAACAAAAAACATCAAACTAAAATCTCTAAACTGTGTGGAAAACTCAGAAAAAGTAAAAATAAATTTACGTTCTAATTTGCAACTTTCAAATAAGACTTTTAGAAAAATTCAAAGTATGTATAGAAATCGAACATCCAATTTGTTTTGTAATTTAAAAAATCTGCCAACTTTGCAAATGCTACAGTATTAGCTAATAGTTTTACATATTGTGAGGGGGGATAATAAAACAAAAAGGTGCTTCGAAGCACGCGGTGATCTAAATCAAAGATATATCAAATACTTCCGCTTGATACCTTTATTGTAATATTTAGCTTATCTTATCGTTTTAACTGAATTAAAATTTTCAAATATGTGGCAACCCGTTTCGAAAATATTTTCAATACTAAAAATTTCTAAAACCTCTTTAGTTTGATACCTGCATTGTAATTTTTCCTTTATTTTATAAATATAAATGAATAAAATATATTCGGAAGTAAACTTTCGTAAATCGCTTTAATTCGATACCCACATTGCGATATTTAATGTATCTTATCAAATAAATTATTACTATAAATATTACTATTTTCACTATTTCAACTAAGTGAATTCTGTCGCCTTCTTATCATCTAGCTTTTATAATACAGCGACACTATCAATTAACTTCGCTGAAATCACTCAATTTTACAAATATCCAAACTAGGCATTTCTTTTCCATGCCACTTTATTACACCGTCAGTGACAAGCACTTAATCGTACTACCTGTCGTATACGTAACATTCGCAAATATTTATTTCTATACAAATATTTATTTAGATGTGTACATATTTACTCATTTTACAATCAAACAGCTAAATGCCAACATCAATCTCCCTATTTCCGATTCTACTCGCCGCCACTCATAGTGTCGATTATTAACTATGTACATATGTATATTCTCTGTATCCTTCGGAGTGGCCCTCAACAAGTTGATTGCTACTCTCAACCACCTGCTGTTCGCCACAACAAGTAACTAACCAACGAATCGAATGGCGTCAGTTAGTCAGTTGCTCGCGGTGAAATGCATGCCGCTTGTGACCGAGTTCTACTTCGCATGCCATTTATGAACACTGTAGCGACTTATGTACGAAGCATCTAACCGTCAACTAGCAGCAGCTTGCTCATCTTGGCAGCATTAAGAGCAGCATTTTTTTTTTGATATTCCAGTGCTTTCTTATCAGTAAAAAAAATACTTGTAATGAAAGAATAAAAATGATGGCCGTAATGGCACAGGTGTTGTTATTATTCTGGATTTGTTGTGCAAACTGTGGCATTGACAACTAATGGCTTATTTACAAAACACATTTTAATGTTGATTATACTGCAGTACATAATATTTAGAGGTATATTGCAGCACACTAAACTATTCTGAAGGACTTTGATTGTCGGTAACTTAAGGATAAGCACGCTATATAAAAAAAATTTGTCGACCATTTTTTTTTTTGCAAATAAACCATAATCTGAAAGCGGCTTTACAGCTTTTATACTCTCGTTTGCTTTGCAGGTATGCAGTTTTGTATCCCATTAAATTTCACTATAATAAAGTGCAAGTTTAAAGTAACGGGGACTTACCGTTGATTTTTGGATTTTTTTTTTTTTTGGACGATGTCAGTCATTCATACGAAGCATTTTCGACGATGTTTTTTATATGGTGAAAATGAGCAACACCTTGAACCAAAAAAAAAACTCCCAAAAATCAATGGTAATTCCGAGCTATTTTAAACTTGCACTAAAATTTAATGGGCGTACTCAAAATATTTCTAAAAAATCGAATTAAAAAGCTCGAAATTTTAACGTTAGTTTATTGATTTCTTTTTAAATTTTCCACAAAGATTGAAACTTGGATTTATATGGTTTTTGTTAAAATATAAACAATATTTTTATAAACAAATAAAAACTAAAATTAAATAATATTAAGATAAATGAAATCTTGGATCGCTATTTGGATCCGCAATTTGAATTTTGAAAACCTGACTTCAGAGAAGTTTTAATTTTACTAGTCTCTTTTCGAGAGCATATTTTCTCTAACTGCCCAAGACAGGTTTGTAATTAAGGGAATGTTTCCCAATAATACGAGAGGAATTATATTATGTAAAAACCACATTTTTAACTGTATTTTAACATGACAACAAAATAAGCGTTTTTATAAAAAACCAATCAGCGCGACGTGTAAGGAAACTTTTTTTTTTCAAAATAAAAACTAACAATAATAAATAAAAAATAACAATAATCTGGGGTAGCGTTTATGAATAACCAAAAAAAAAAAATTTTAAACCACTCTAATGTATATCGAGTCGAACTTTCTGATAGTACTTTTTGCCTATTTTCGTGTGAACGTAGAAATTTTCATTTTCAACTCTATAACCAGACTTTTGTATGCGCATAACAATATTAATGACTAGACAAGTAAACTAAAAATAAGTCAAAAGTCTAAGTTCGGGTGCAGCCGAACATTAAATACCCGGCGCAAGTGTTAAATATATAGTTTTTCACCTTTCTGAAAACTACCGTTGGATGGTAAGAAGAAAGGTTTTATCCCTATTCCTAACAATATCGATGGCATGATCAGAAGGGAACGGATTTTATGGAAATTGCCTTTTTTCGGCAAAAGAGACAGTACATATTCGATTAAAAATATCCACGATTTAGCTTTATCACAATTTATATTTACCTTTTTTGCCTATTGTACCTTTAAAAGGTGATTATAGTTAGGAGGAAGACCTTATTCCTGATAATATAAAAGTTTAAAACGTTCCTTATTTAAATTGGGCGCCACTTGTATCAACTCACGTCGAGCGCACGTTTAGTACATTCAAAGCTGTGTTAAAGCCTATTCTGTTACAAAAAAATCAAGTGTGAAGAAAATCGACGGATAAATAAAGAAGTAATAAGAAACGTTATATGAAAATGCACAACGAATTTTTGTATAAAAAATGAGCAGGAAAGAATGTTACTTAAACGCCATGTACACCTGAAAAAATATCGAATACTTATCCATAGAATAAAAAATTAACTCGATTTTCGGAATCAGCGAAAAATTCTAAATTGGAATTGGATATGTAGTGGCGTTCGTAGAACATTTTTCCTGTAAACCAGTGTTATTTTTAAGTTTCCGCCTTTTTTTAGTGCCCGCTTTTGCCTTTTTTGCTATTTCTAGTGCCTTTTGCTGCCTATTTCGTTATTTTATTTTGCCTTTTTTATAGGTTTTTAGATGCTGAAAATCCGTCCCTGATGATCAGTTATATTTAATGAGATAAACTTATATAGTTAGATGTGGGCGGTATCACGCCCACTTTTCAAAATTCTACAATTATGTTACTTATTTTGAAGCGATTGTTGTTAGTATCAATTTGGAGTAAATTAGCGTCCTTAAATTTCAAAATATTGAAATTTCAAGAATTTCTGAAATTTACGGTTATATGAAAAGTGGGAGTTATTTAGTCCGATTTCAATAATTTTCACCGTTGTGCTTTTATGTGGCAATCACAATAATCGTACCAAGTTTGGCAAAAATTGATCGAACGGTTACCGAGATATACAAACCTGGTAATAAGTGGGCGGTGCCACGCCTATTTTCCAAAATTTAATCATAAACCTGTTTTTGCTAAAGAGTTATTGCAAACATCAATTTTAAATAAATAAACTTCTGTAGGCACTGATTTATCGAAGATTTCGTATTTCTCTAAATTGCCGTTATATTGGATGTGGGCGTGGTTGTTGTCCGATTTTAAACAAATTTAGCCGTTTGGTGTTATCGGTGGAGCGGTTACCAAGATATACACATGTAATAAGTGGGCGTGGCTACGGCCATTTTCCAAAAATTTATAATATTCTTTTTTTCGTCTAAAGGTTATTGCAAATATCAATTTTGAGTAAATAATCTTCAGTAGTTACTAAAATATCGCAGTTTTCGTAATTCTGAAAACTACCGTTATATGGGAAGTGGGCGTGGTTACGATCCGATTTCGCCCATTTTCAATGCCGACCTACCCTGGGTAAAGGGCAATCTACTTACAAAATTTCGTTGAAATATCTCAATTTTTTGTTCGAGTTATCGTGTACACGGACAAACGGACGGACAGATAGACATGGCTTAATCGACTTCTCTTTTCATTATGATCCGTTATGTATACATTTTTCTATATCTATCTCGATTCTTTTTGCCTGTTACAAACAACCGTTGTGTGAACAAAGTTATGAACCCTGGGTGTAGTACTATCCCAAAAATAATTCAATTTGATATTTAAACTTTAGTAACTAAAAATTGTTACATGAGTATAAAATTATGGCCTTATTCATAAAAAATAAGGTAGCTTTATAAAAGGTTTATAAATTAAAAAATGTATGAAAACGCCAATTTATAAAGCTCTTTAAACCTGCTTTATTTTTTATGAATAAGGCCATTAACCTTCTTTCTCATCATTTCATTTCAGAAGCTGTTAGAAAGGAGCAAATGCTTTAGGTTATCCAATAATTTTGGCTTGAGTACGAAAAGAACAACAACTTAATTTATAAACAAAAATGGCACTGAATGCTGAGGATATTGTTGAAATCAAGAAGACCTGGGCCATTCCCGTCGCCACACCAACCGATTCCGGCGCAGCGATTCTCATCAGATTCTTCACAAAATATCCGTCCAATTTGGAAAAATTTCCATTCCGCGACATTCCAGTGACGGAATTACATGTGAGTACAGAAATTTTAAAAATTTCAATTAGCCAGTTTCACAAAGGAAATTAAGTGAAAACTTATATTAGATTAATATGAATTTGAACAAAGGGAAAGCATTCTCTTAAATTGCTGATGAAATTGCAATTTTCTTTTCTATGACGTTTTTGCTTAAAACAATATTTTGAAAATTTAAAAAAAAAATATTAGGGCCGAAATGAATAATGGAGAGTATACAGAGAAAGAGAATATATATTTTGAATAAACTTTAATGACATACATTTTGGAGGTGGAAATATATTTTCTATGATAAGAAAAGCTATAAATCTATATACATAAATTTTTCCAATAATTGAAATTAATCATTTTTCAAATAATAATTTCAAAGAAAAAATCTGGAACTTATTAAAACCTTATTAAAAATCCTAAATAAATTTAATGGTTTTTTCATAAATTACATATTTCATAATATTACAAAATAAGAAATAAAATGCTAAATTTGAAATCCATATTTTTCAAAAATTTTAGAGCAAAATTGAGTTTATTTAAAATAAAATTTTTTTCTATTAAAAAAAAAAATAATAAATATATTTCTATTTTATTATTAAACTTTAAATTTTTCTTTCGTTGAAGCTTACTAATTCATTTCGATTTTAATAAAATATAAATACAAATTTTAAATTAAATGAAAGTTTATCTTATGCATTTGGCTTTCATAAAAATTTTCAATTTGTATATAGACGTTTTTTTATAAAAAAAAATATAATTTGCAATGCTTATTTTTTCGGTTCACTTTTTTAGAACAGCGCACGCTTCCGCGCCCACTGTGGCCGTATTATCAAGACTTTTGATCAGTCAATCAGCCAACTGGAGGCAGAAGGTGGTCTGGAAAAGATACAAGAAATATGGGAAGGTTTGGCAAAATCACATGTGGAACGTCACAATATTGCCAAGCCTTCATACCTTGTAAGTGAAACAAAACTACAATATATGTAAGAGTTTGTGTAAAGAAAAAACTATTTAAATGTAGTTTACTTAATTCCTAAAATTAAAGGTTTATTAACCGTCTAAAAGTTTAAGGATTTTCGCAACAAAAAATTGAATTTAAAAAGCTAGAAATATTGCCAAGGCCTTTATACTTTTTTAGTAAAAAAAAATACAAACTATGAATGTACCACGTGAATTGAGCCATGCAAACTTTACCACACATAAAAAAAACATAGTTAAAATTTTGTAGATTAATAAATTTTCATTTTTCAATATAGCTTAAACTTCAACAAGAGCTATATAGAAGAAAGCTTCTAACTTTGTACAAAATTGACTAAAATTAAGTTGGCTATTAAATAGCCTAGCCAAAATTTTCCTAAAAATTTATTTAAAAAGACTGTACTTTTGATGAAAATTTTGTGAGTTTTTCTAAAATTTGTACAAAGTTACACATTTTTTTTTAATAGTTTTTCGTAACTTGTGACCTATATTTTAAAAATAAAATACATTTTTTAATAGTTTACAAAATTCTACCTCATTTTTTAAAGTGGTGGTGATATTTGCGTGGGCACATGTGTATAAGTTTGAATAAAGAACAAATATTTTAAGTTTTAAAATGTATTAATCAACTAAAAATTTAAAGATTTGTTCAACAAAAAATTAAATTG